CTTTTCGCTTGAGCTTAACAAAATCAATCTTGCACGAAGAAATAGATGTAAAAAAAGGCGACGAACAACGTTACCTGGATGTCTCAGCAAAGCATGCTTTCTTTGTCGGAATGCAAGGAAAAGGGCCAAAAACCTGTGCAGGACGCTCAATTATGGAAGCTCTTGCTGGATCGCATGAAGCATAGGAACCGTCGTGAAGAGCGACAACGCACTCACTTCCGTCACGAGTCCACGTGATATTCTTTAAAAACTTGCAGTTTGTAAAAGTGTGGATACATACTACAATACATGTCCTATTTTCTAGCCCCTTCAAATACTTGAAGTGAATATAACACAATATTCCTAGATATTTCGATTATTACGAAGATAGATAATTAGTGGCAGTACAGTGATGTGTTCGTTGCCATATCCCAATCAAACCACTTCAGTACCAGTAAGACCTTGTTAGCATTAATACCACTCTTCAATTCCATCGCTTTATTTGTAAAGTCAGCAAGCTCTTTTAGGAAGAGACAATGTTCTTCAACCCAAATAGTTCCATGATGTTTCAAAAAGAGTACTCTTAGTATGACCGCAGTTACCTTCTAACACGACAAATTTTCAAGCGAAACAATGTACTTTCAAGTTTCTTTTTCGAATTACTGCCCAACGCAGATGGGTGCTGTTCTACATTACGACCACACAATGACACATCAATTTCCTCGCTCACTTCAATCGCGAACGCTGCACGCATGAACGGAGCAAAAAATTGCGAAATAACCAGATAGAAGAGTGGCTGAGAACAAATTTCGCCGCACGATTACAGTGTCAATATACCAAAGCACAGTCTGCAGAGAAGACTGTAAATATTGTTGAAAAAACTATATGTTAGAGCACTTACCTTACACTGAACCTCAAACACACTCGTGCCTAGCACTTCATTCGTTGAAGAGTCGTACGATAAGAGGAGTCGATGATCAAATACCATTAATGTGAGTCTTGGATTTGTTGGACAAACAGAGAGCAAGTCGACTGGATATTTTTCTCTCTTCGCTGATTCAGGAATTCTGCAAATGGGCATTTTGGGGAAGCAATTCAAAGTGAGCTGGGTTACCTCTGCAAGATAGAGTCCTCAAACACAATGTATTCTGACAACTCTAAGGTATTGACATCCAAAGCGAAGACATTCCCAGAGACTGTGCCTAAAGCTTGCTACGCAACATTGCAAAAACTTTGAGCAACGAGGAAATTTCTCAGCATACTGAGAAGATGACAATTTTGATTTAAGATGACAGCGCAGCTGAATTTAACGGAACAATGTTGCGACAATTATATTGAGAAAAATCATTGGAAAAAGCAAAGAAAACCGCCCTGTTCAAATATTCAACTAAATATGATAGATAGAAAGACTGAAAGACAAAATGGACTTCGAAGAAAACGACAAGAAAAATTGAAAGATAGGGAAATGGCATAAATTTAAAAACTATTGAAAACAAAATAACGAACTGAAGCCGAATTACCTATAAGAAGGAGAGCTTCTCGAAGATTTGCTTTCTGAAGCATACAGCAACTGGTGATTTTTTTCAATCTTGTCTCATGTAGTACAGATTGAGCTTTTATTTCTACACCTAAAGATAACAAAGCACTTTTTGGAGAAACGAAATTCGTCCTTATATGCATTAATAATGAAACTTCTTGCTAAGAAGAACGGCTGCAATTAAAAGCGCATCGAAAAAGAATTAAGTATGGTAAGTATGGAAAGTTAGTAAGAACTACCTTCTAATGAAAATCGGACAAAAGTGGAATCTCGGCATAAAACAATCAGCACACCAAGACCACAAGCGAAATACATGTGAGCTGCGCTTTTAGCCATCCCTTTTTTGCCAGGAATTTCGGCGCTCCAGATAAAGCCGTTTCCTCCATATCTAAACAAGATTTTATTCAGTAAATACGAAGATGTTGAAGCGAAAGATTAGGAAATTTCCGGACAAATGATTCAGAGCAGATGCGACAAGCTACTTACATATTAATGTCTCCATCCAAGTTCCCAATGGCTAATAAACTGAGGATGTCATCGTAAGCGAAACATGAAACACGCGCAGGGAAACCGTGACGAACTGTCTTAAATCAAACAAACACATAAGAAAAGTAATGAAAGCATGTACGAGTAGGCCACAGGCCCATGAAAAGAATGAATTTAAGTAAATCCTAATGTAAAAACCGCGTAAGTTACCTGCCGATAGTCCAGATAATCTGCTACTACATCTTCATGCACTTCTGGACTAGATTTCTGGAGTAAAAACCGCAGCATCTTGAAACATTACGTTTAGAAACGGACTACGAGTAATCACGCGATGATCCTTAATGATATTTACCAAGACAAAATTGAAATTACACATGTGATAAAAAAGTGCATAAAAAATTGAGTTAAGACAATGTAAATGAGGCAGTATAATGAGCTGACGGAAGATGGAAACTCGTAACGAGTGCGAAAAAGCGGCAGATTGAAGATTGCAAACTGGTCGGATAGCGAAAGGCGGGCGAATATGAAGTGAGTCATGATAACAATGAACGCGAGTGAC